AGCGATATCTCCGTCAGTTTTGAAGCTTTTAGAATGAAACAAAACCGTGGATAAAGTTTAGAAACAGTCCTTTCAGATGGTAAAAAGATTACAGTCAAAGGTTTACTAGTTTCCGAGATATTCACATTTCCTTCCCAATGTTCCTTCTTATTCTGCCATCTATGTGCTATTTTCTTGTTGTAGGGATATATTCTTTGAATATTATACCTATGCCAGGTTCTAGGCATGCTTGTAGTAGATTAAATCTCATGCTACATGGGTGTAGATAATCGATAATGATCTTCTAATGTCTGTCCAGTCTCATAAAGATCATGAGATCTGTTAAACATCTGAACTTGTCACCTGATTGTTGACTATTCTGATAGATCATTGTTTTATTCTTTGAATATTATTTCTCCTACACCGTCAACCTTCTGCCAAGTTGCAACCTTCCGCCGCTGTCCCGTACCTCATACTTGGACACCGCTTGTACCTTCACTCCGAGACTCCATCATAGTTCCTACCTCGGACTTTGACTCCACCTTGGCTTTAGTCCATTGCATTGGTGACTTCATACTACGTAAACACCATTGCCAATATTCCTCGGACTTTCAACCCTGCCTCCATAACCTCCGTAAGCTCCACAACCTCTGAGCTCCACGGATCATCTTCGGCACTTTCGCTGCTTGTAATGTATCTTTCGCGTTTCCCCCTCATCCCTATTTGGACTGCTGCTTCTTCCCATTCTAGCCAGTTAGTCATCATTCCCACTTCCCCTCATCCTCCTGCCCCTCTGGGCTTCGCCCTCCTTATCTCCTTTTGGATGTACCACAGGTTCAGCCCTATGACCTTCGGTACCGCTCCGCTTCTGTCATCCCTTTGTTCCCATTCAGACGCCTTCATTCCGATTCGGACCCCCTTTGTTTCCTTGTGCTTTCACCCTCTCCATTATATATATCAGCACTTGTACATACTCGTTTTAGGCCTTAGTCTAAAATCGACCTGAAATGCCCCCTAGAGACTTCCTGCTTGCTGCCTATGAAATTAAGGACCAAATGGACAAACAGCAATGGCACAGCACTCCGCTTGAGTTGCTGAGGCCAAGGTCCCTCCTTGCTAAGTCTCCGGTTCCCCTCCAGAATCGTCCGCCCTTGCCCAGTTCTAACAGTCAGCACTTCTGTTAGAACTGGGCAGATTCAGACGACTCCGGAGTGGAATCGGAGACTTAGCGTGGAGGGACCTTGGCCTCAGCAACTCAAGCGGAGCGCTGTGCCATTGCTGTTTGTCCATTTGGTCCTTAATTTCACAGTAGGTGAGCAGGAAGTCTCTAGGGGGCATTTCAGGTCAATTTCGGACTGAGCCCGATACGAGTATGTACAAGCACCGATATATATAATGGAGGGGGCAAAAGCACAAGGAAGCGAAGGGAAACCGAATCGGAACGAAGGCGTCCGAACGGGAACAAAGGGATGTCAGAAGCAGAGCGGTACCAAAGGTCATAAGGCAGAACCTGTGATACGTCCGAAAGGAGGTAAGGAGGGCGAGGCCCAGAGGGGCAGGAGGATGAGGGGAAGTGGGGATGATGACTACTGGCTAAAATGGGGAGAAGCAGCAGTCCAAATAAGGATGAGGAGAAACGCGAGAAATACATTACAAGTGGCGAAAGTGCCGAAGATGATCCGCAAAGCTCGGAGGTTGTGGAGCTTATGGAGGCGGGGTTGAAAGTCCGAGGAATATTGGCAATGGTGTTTACATAGTATGAGGTCACCAATGCAATGGACTAAGACCGAGGTGGAGTCAAAGTCCGAGGTAGGAACTTTGATGGAAGCTTGGAGCAAAGGTACGAGTGCCTGAGTACAAAGTACGGGTCAGCAGCGGAAGGTTGTAACTTGGCTGGAGGTCGGCGGAAGAGGACCAGAGGGAAGAGAGGGGAAGGAAGAGGGGAGAGGTATCAGGTCCGAAGGTGGGTATCGGAGCGGATGGGAGAAGAGTAGGAGGATGACGGAAGGGTGGAGGTGTTGTGAGGAGGGAGCGGAGGAGTATGAGGAGGAGTAGAAGGAGGGTGGCGAGAGGGGTGGTGTTCGGTCCGAGGTGGTTATCGGAACGGACGGAGATAGGACAGGAGAGTGACGGAGGAGTGGAGGTGGCATGGGAGGTGAAGGGTGGTGTGGTGCCAGGACTGAAGGTGAATATCGGAACGGACAGCGGTAGGGTAGGATTCCGGAGGTGGGGAAGAAGGAGGTCCGGAAGTCGGGGCGGGGTCGGGTATGCACGGATATGACAACTTCTCCTTGAGAGCCTCCATAGTAGGTGGCAGTCAGACCCAGCATCCATCCAGCCTCCAGCCTCCCAGCCTCCCAGCCTCCAGAGTCCAGCATCCAGTCCCCACTCCAACTCCCAATATAACAATAAATTCGGACAACTCCGCTACAATACAATGTATCTCCGGCCCATTATTGCAGTCACATGTGCAATTCAAAAGTGTATGTACAAATTGTGTAGTGGGCCACAACGTACATTGTCTTGCACTTATTGTGTCCCCTCCACTTGGTCGTAGCAACCTATGGTGACAGGGCAGACAAGAGCTATCAGTTTTATAGTACATGCACACTATGCTACAGTATTCCTTGACACCGTAGTCCCTAACCAAAACCGAGGTTGGATTCACATTTGTGTCGGATCACAGGTTAGGCAATATCTGCTCATATATAAGACTTGTCTATACATGATATGCAAGAGTGGGAACATGATGAGTTAACACAATGTTTGACAGATCGTTATATTAGCCCAAGCAGTACGATCCTTCTCGTCCTTCTGCCACTGGCAGCATCAGGTTGCTATGTCCACATCAAATGTTAGTCAATTGCCTCAAAAATGAGGACAATGGTTCCAAAAATTGCCAATTATCTTTGAGGAAGGGTCGCTGGACTCCAGGTCCTCGCCTCCCTTTGAATCATGGTCATTATAGGATCATGCCATCTCTCTCAGAGAGAGACACGTCCATTCATCCTCAAAAAAAAGATATGAGAACGGAGTCCAAAAATTGTTTCATAGATGCATCTAAGTCATCACTTCCCATCAAATCATGGTCCATGTGGAATAGATGTGCCAACCCAAACACAGAGAGGATCCATCCACTGACCACCGATATACTTCTTCACCAAACAAACACTCACCGTCCCTGAACCCATACCATGCAAGCCAGCACATTGGTGTTCACCTCTCAACTCATCTTGTTGTGTTGGACATCTAGCTACGAAGCTCATGGAGAACACCTCAACAGGATACTGACCCCATTGATCGACCCCTGTAACACCCCCAACATCCACAGAAAAACACAAGAGTATGTCACTGACTTAATTAGCATCGAATCGCTATTGCGTCCCATTGCTCAGGGTCATTCAGTGTACCATTTGAGGGTGTAGGCAGCCAGGCTTTTCGTGGAGGGATCCGTATGAAGCAATGCATCATGATCAACGTTAGCGTTCCAGATGGCCAAGCCCAAGTAAGTGATCATATGGTGCAAAGTAAGCTGGGCCATGCATATGGAGATATCAGGATGTGAGGGTGGGGTGACTCATTGGGGAATGTAACAAGTTCATGTTAGATATATAGATATACTCTTGGCTTACATAATTATACCAAACGTGACCTGTTTGTAGCAAGCATACACATCCACTTGCTCCCTGAAAATTGGCCAGTGCTACTCAATTGAGTAATGGATCATTTTGGGAACAACTGACAAAACACACTCTTTTTCTATGCCACCCCTGAAGTGGAGCATGGCCACAAGAGCAAGAGGATGTGTTCTCTTGCAAGAAGATGCATTCTCTTGGATGCATTCTCTTGGATGTTGCTGTATATAAAGGGTGCATCTAGTGGCACCATCAACGCCTGTACCCTCTCCTCTTGAGAACATTCTTCTTACCAAAACCTCTGATGTCCCAAATGCATAAGTGAGTGTGTGACGATGCTCCAGGTGCCTTCTTTGACACCCGTTTTGTTGCAGGCACAAATGCGTGAAATGCAACCTCACCTTTGCATCAGACAGCGCCCGAAAAATGCATGTAGCCAACGTCCACCAACCCAGCATAATGGCCAATGGCCAGTTGCTTGTGTCTCGGGAACTCCAAACAGGTGTCTTTCATTGCCCACAGCCAGATTGCGATTTCTCGAGTTCAAATGCGCAGTCCATGCACCATCACGTCCATATATCACAACTCCGAGCCAGTGCTGCTGCCCAGCCAGACCACATTCCTTCTGAAGATACCAATATGGAGGATTTGCTGCCTTCTACACACCATTCTGGATCACTCATCATCCCACCTGAGTTCCATTGTCTGCAGTTGGGAATCGATGTAATGCACTGTGTCCTAGTTTGCCAGGGCTGTGGCCTTGGCATCCACTGCTTGTGGCTGGAAATGCATATCCGAAAGAAGCATGGCGGTAGGTCCCAGCTCCCTAAAAACTATGAGAAAGTCCTAGATGAGTATCAATTACCACATCGCACGGAACAACCCTCCCGAAAAATCGTCCCCATCCAGTCCATCGAAATAAAGGATGGATTCATGTGTGCTTTCCCTGGATGCTACTTTGCTGGCTTGAAAGATGAGTCCATCACCCACAATCATTCCAGTGTGCATACTTTTGCCAACCTTGACCATCATGTGGTACCATGTGCAGTTCAGGTTGTGTATAGAGGTTATAACGGGCACCAAGTCTGGGCCGTAGAGGATGATTACTCTGCATTCTGTGGGGAAGGCATAGACTTCCATGAATTTTTCGAAGGTATAGTGTCAGAGGAGGAATGTCATTGGACGACGATGACGATGACGCCACCCACTGATCCCTGGCACATTAATGGCTTTCTTGCAATGTTCCACTGGTTGGACCTCACTTCTGGACATTCACCCAAAATGCTCAGCTCTGTTACCCAGCCCCCTGCTCCACAGTCCCTTCTCTTTCCATTGATCTGACGGGTCAAGGACTATTTCAACAGCATCCATCCCATGGTTTGGCATATGTCGCACATCATACTGAAATGGGTGAATAGTGTCACAGAGTAAGTGGTTCAGCCAACTTGCATGATGGGTCACTCACTCGGTTTTGCATTCAGTGCCATTGAAAATTCTCCATTCTCATACCCCCAGAACTCTGCCACTTGCGATCATTATGAGGGTTTTGGATTACGTTTGGTTTGCTTCTTGGTGCGCATGTGTATGGAGGAGTTCCCTCTCAAGTTGAGCTTCACCATGGAGCAGATTCATCATGCAAGGATGGTACGTGCATATCCCAACGACCCAACGACCACAGATGAGAGGTGGGACGACGCCATACATGGTCTCATGGTCTCTGTCTTCTTTGGCCTTCCCTCCAATTTCCGTCGTGAATCTGAGAAACACCCAATCTCCATTTTCCTTATGCTCATCAATCTCCATCCTACTACCGGAAACTTTCCCAAGTGCTCGACCATATCTGGAAGACTATCTGCAATGATGTATCTGTTTCGTGTCATGGCTGTGAAGATGATCTGGAAGGAGGCTGAGAAATGAGCAGCTGAGACACAAGATGACTTGGTGGAATTCTTGTACATGTTGGACCCGGTACACGATGGATCGCACTAACCCTTGATACCAGGATATGCAAGGAAGTTTGCTCATGTTGGCTCCGTTCAGGGAAGCCAAGCCCATTCGACTTTGTTCTCTCCATGAGCCATGTTGCAACATCTATAGCCTGGAATGATGAGGAAGGCCTGTTGACAGTGGTGTGGGATGATGACCACGGGTCGATGACAATACGACAGCACCGGGTCCAACTGAGTGATGTACCCATCATGTATGAGGCCATTCTCAGCGGCATCCAAACAGCACTCGAGGACCTTGCCGGTGGGGTAGACCTGAGCATCCCCTTTCCATGCCACAAAATTGCAGACAACACTCAGAACTTGACACCAGAGTACAATTTGGTTGGGACCGATAATGCAAAGCTCCAAGCACTTCAATACCGGGTTCTGAAGAGCTTGTCAGGTCCTGAATGGTTCGTTGCAAAGCCAGGGGGAGGGGTCGAATGGAAACGTGCCAGGGTGGCAACATGGATGCAGCGTGCAGAGGTCCTCAACCAGCTATTCATTGTTGCAATCCACATTGGGGGTGGACAACCTGCGAGGGGGACGGAGATTCTCAGTGTTCTGGTAAGGAACAGACAGAACACGATGAGGAATTTGTTTGCACTTTGTGGTGGAATGGCCACAGTCATCTCCTATAACAAGGTAGGAAGAGAACGTGAAGAACAACCTTCTGTGGACTGAACTGCTGTCCTTAGACCAACTCGAAATCTGGGTGGTCCCAACCAATCGTGCATTTCCTCCACCAAGAACTCTTGGAGCTCCTGGTCCAATACCTTGTCTTCATATGAAAGACCGAAGAAGTTTTTAGTCACTTTTTGTGGGGTGAAGATGCACAGACTTTGGTCCATTACCATCTATTTTACGGTCATGAAGGGACTTTGGCAACCACAAGCCATTTGAGTATCACCCTCCAACGTATTACTCACACCTATTTGCAGGCGTCTCTCGACGTACATGCCTACTGGCACATGGCCGCTGCCATTGGGCAGCACCTGATGGTTGGGATCATTGATCCCGAAGAGGAAGATTCCACCACGGGCATGGATGCCCAGGCTGGGAGATTGATGACCACTTCTGAGCGAATCTATGGCCTCCAGGTCAATGAAATGGGTGGCCTCAATAATAGGGTCTTGGCCCTGTTTCGTGCAACAAGCAGTCTGTGGCATTCAAAGGTGCTGGGATTGCATGTCAAAGGGCATGTTGTGGACATGGACTCCATTCTAAAAACGTATCCTACTGGTGAAGCTCAGACATCCCCCCCCTCACTCTCTACCCTGAAAACGTTGTTGCCTGAAATCATCGAGGAACGGATTATCCCCTGCCTTTCCAACATGTTGGACGAAAAATTGGTAGGACAGAGCAAGGGGAAGTGCTGAGAGTTGCCCCAGGTGAGTTCTTTCTTTAGCTATTGTTCATTGTTTGGTTAAATGTCATGCTGCAGCAGGACGATGAGAGGGATTATGTAATGTATAGACCAAGAAATGCGAGATGTATGAGGCCTTGCCCTTGCCCTTGTCATGACCACTGATGTGTCCTTTTTCCAAGGAATTGGAAGAGGCTGATTTGAGGACAGCCATTTCAGATAGCATGAAGTTGGAAAAGTATGGGAAAGTTCTCAGTCCAGGATTCCTTCATCAATGCCAATGGATCTTGTCCAAGGTAAGCACACATAGGGTTTCGTCTTCTTTTGCTGAGTCTCCCCTCCCCAGTTACCAATTCGAATCCCATCTCCTACCCTCCCAAACCTGTCCCCACCCCCTCTCAGACTCATGCACAACCTCCAGAGCTGGACCTGACGAAACCATGCTCCCTCTTCGACAAGACCACCATGGAGAACTTGGGCACCATGCTCAAAGACAGGAAAGTGATGTTCCGCTCTCCTGCACAGTTTTACGCATACAAGGAACTTCTAAACAAGCAAAGGCATTGCTTGTATGTTGCACCATGTGGGGCTGGAAAGACCCTTCCCTTCATCCTTGCCATCCAAGCCCATGGGATCTTCAAACAATCCATCATGGTGCTGCCTTATGAGGTGCTCCATCCTGAGATGGATAGACGATTGGGCCAAGCCAACATCGCATGTATGAAATGGAGCATGGACAACCCACATCCCAAGGAATGTGTTGTCACGGTCTCGATCAAGTCCTTCGGAAATGAGGCCTTTGTGAATTGGCTCTTTGGGCTGGTCAATGCTGGAAAGATGGGCTCCATCATGTTTGATGAAGCACACAGAATCGTGGAAGTTCCGACCTGACTATCTCACTGCTGTATGTGTTCTCATGTGACTCGGAGGGTCACCTGTGCTGTTCACTTCAGCCACGATGGCACCATCCTTCATGTTGTAGGAATATAAAAGTTACAACACTAAAACAACCAGAAACAATCACAGAAAATTAGATAAAAATCATACAACCCCTGCGGACCAGAAATAAAAATAGTAATAAAATCATAACTCAGCGAAATGAATTGAAATAAATTATCGGAAAAATACTGAAGAACAGAGTTAATGGGATGAGTATCTACGCGAACTTTCAGGTCTAGGGATTAAAAGATGGTTCAGAAAATGAAGAAAAACAGCAAATAAACCCACATGAGAACAAAAACAAGGTTTCCTGTATCAAATAAAATATTAGAAATTCGCAATAACGTGAGAAAATAGTTTTACGAACGTACGAAACGAATGACAAAGAGAAATCGGAAGAAAATCAAGTAATTCACATAATGAAAAATGGTTGGGTATGAGGAAAAGATGAAAGAATTGGGAATATTTATACGAGGAAAATAGGGAAAAATATGAATCTTTGACAGTCTTAAAGAGTTAAAGTATAGGTCTGTGTACGAAAAGATTTCATGTTAAAATCTGAAGAATTGAGAGAGAAACGGATTTAACAAGATTAAAACACACTTGCAGAGAAGACTGGCTCAAACATCCTGAGTTTGTGGAAGAGACGGATGGGCTATAAATGCGAAACTAAAGAGTTCGAGTCCAGGAACGAGGCATAATTTATCCAGAATTAATTGTAGGAAAATGGATGAGCTAATGCCAAAGCAATCTGGAGAACCTTGAAATTAAATCTTGAAAAATTCATATCTTCATAAATAATCCTCGTAGTTTACTGTTGTTTATACCGACGGAAAGCTACACTCTTAAGCTAACAAATAACCCCATGACATGGGACTTAGAATAAAGTGAGTAGACAAGGTCATGATGGGTGTTAGACAGTGCAATTGGTTGATTCCCACTTCCAGAAAGTTCTAGAAGCAGAATGGGATGCTCATCGCTTACATAAGAGGATTACTAAGCTCAATATAAGATTACTCAGCAATGTAAATAGTAAAGTGACATGTGAAAACAGAGCCCTTAGGAAAGGTATAAAAGACCACATTTTCTGGTCTGACCCCTCTTCCTTCTTTACTCCTCTCCCCTATGTGCTCTGGCTCATAGTGTCAGAGTCTGGAGATTATTGTCAGAGACTGGATTATTGTCGGAGTCGGAGGTGATGCAGAGGTCTGTTGGAGCGCGTTTTGTTACGGGTCTATCGCCTAGACTCGAGACAGAGAGAAGGGGGAGGGTGGTAGTGTGCGCGGATGTGGTTTGTGAGGCCGGGTCTTGGTCCGTGGGCGCTACTGAGTCTGCAAAAACCTCAAACAAACACTCACCTACATCTCTCTTGGACGTCAAGGCTGAGTATTATGATGTGAGGGGTCTTAGACGTGAGCAACTAGCTCAGAGGGGGCGTTAGGGTCGTGGATGGCGTCTTTGCCACTTGGATGCAACTTCTGCTTGTCCCTTCACGGGTCTATTTAGTACTAACTTGTTATGTACAAGCTGTTATCTATTTTATATGAGTTGGAAATGAAATGAATGGGCTGGGGGAATGTAAACGGGCCGTTAGGCAACCGTAAATGATGAATATCCAATTGGGAACAAAGAAACAATAAAAGAAATATGAGTGAATGGGGAAAATGTGACAACGGGTCCGAAATGGGAATTGTGAAGATTAACTCCGCAACAGTTCGCCACAACACCCGCCTATCCTCCCGTCAGCAACCTCCTCGTCTCCAGCTTTCCAACGAGCCCTTATTCATCCCAATTGGTGCAGTGGTTCTTGAGATGTGGAGAGGGGGTGAAATTGGCGGCGTGGTTGGGCGTGGGAATTTTGCTTGGGGTTGTCGGGAATGATGGGGAAAATAAGGAAAAATAAGGAATGAGTGTATGGAGTGTTGGATAGTGATAGAATGAGCATCGGGAACGTCAGCGGGTATGTAGTGGGTGTTTGTGGCCAAATTCCGCAGAATCCGACTTTTTGCGGTACACGGAGTTGTCCCCACAACAGCGTGCACGGATATGCGGGTGGAAATATGCGGCGCATCCGGAAGCGCTGTTCAAGGTTAGCAGAGTGGGATCGCGGCCTCAGCGACTCAGGTGGAGCGCTGTGCCCTGAGCTTGACGTTTGGGGGAGATCCTGTATTTACAGACTGACACTTACAGCAGACTTCAAACAAGACTTGCAGGCGGAGCGGACCTGTAGGGGAGTGCGGACTCCGCGAGCACGGACTCAGAGGGGGGGAAGCCCCCTTTGCAGAAGGAGAGACTCAGACCAGACAGGGGGGGTGCTCTAGTTGATTTCAGACTAAGGTCCCCAAAAGTATTTACAGGATATAAATAGGCAGGAGGGAAACACAGAAGGACTGGTCAGTCCAGCGTGGTCCAGCACGGAAATAAGCGGGGATTGTCAAACTGAATGAAGGACAAGAGCCCGGGAAATGGGAGGCAATGAACTAAACAAAAGCGGATCAAGTGCCAATATTGACAGGTAATAAGAAGTGCATCAGCACATGGATCAAGTGCCAATATCGGCAAGCTAAGCGAATGAATGGATGAACAATATAGGCACTCGGCAAGGAATGAATGGTATGCTGCCGAGTGACAAGATGGCCAGAGAAAAGCGGAGGTCAGCACACGGCGCCGATACAAGTCCGCAAATAAGCGGGGTCGGTGCGGTGCCGACACAAGTCCGTGAAGGGACATGGAAATCAGCGCGGTGCTGACAAGTCTGCAACAGAGGGTGGTCCGTCAGTGCCATCACAAACAAGGGCAGCATGATGGCCAGCAAGGTCAGAGGGGAGTGTTGGCCTGACCACAGGGTGTGGAGGGCAACCAGGAGTGGCAGAGGTCCAGAGGGTGTGGAGGTGGGCAGAGGTACAGATGCGGGTGGAGGTCCAGATGCGGGCAGAAGTCCGGATGCGGGTGGAGGTCTGGATGCAGTGCATGGTTGATAGGGCAGGGGGCCAGACATCAGATTGGGGCTGGTTAGATTGGGTTTCGGGTCGGCGGATTTGCCTATCGGCATTGATTCGCCGCTGACGGAGCCCCAGGATTTGTCGGTTGTGACACATAGGTCATAAGGTGTCCTAATAAAAATTAAGTTTTATAAGTGTGCAGTTCAGATCACATCTGAGTAAAAGTGATCAACCCTCGGTAAAAAGTTAAGAAGAAGTTAAGAAATAGTGACATTGAGTCAAGTTGGTTGGAGTCGCTCCGAGTTAAAAAGTGACAAGAGAGAGGTGAAACGACTAAAAATAGTAGGTCTATAGCGCGATTTTCATGTGGAACAATCAGGTAGACAAGTGAATTGAACTCTGAGAGTTTCATACACACACAAATAATCAGTAACACATACAAATATCAATACACAAAGCTGTTAGACACTGATCTGGGGTCGGCACCGAAGGTCGCCGATGCGGGCCGCTATTGGCCGCAATGGCCGCGATGCCTCAGACAAGGCCCGGGGGTAGGGCATTTGGCCTCAGCAACTCTAAAGGGAGTGCTGTGCCCCCTAGCTGTCTCTTGGCCCTCATTTCGGACTCACTGGGGTTGCCTTGTTGGGGTCAGGACTTAGGGGTCGTGGTCACATCGATATTAGAGCTAAGGTACAATAAAGTATCATACAGGATATATATAGGAGGAAGAAATGAATGGAAGCGGACCCGGGCTGGAGGCCGAGGGGTCCAGAAGCAAACAAGAATAAGGAGCGGGGTTGGCTGCATAGCGGCCGGCAATGACCGAGGGTCAAAACAAACAATAACAGATAAATAAAGGAAAGAGTGTAGGGCCGCAATAGCAGCGATGGTATCGTAGTGGCGCTGGACTCGGAGTTGGGCTGGAGTCGGGCGCGGGGATGATAGCGGCCCTGTAGGGGCCAAGTGAGCGGGGTAGGGGAGTTGCGCTGGGCACGGTGCTGGAGGCGGACTCAGGGTGGGGAGGTTGGTGCAGCAGCGGGGGAGTCGGCCAAGTGTAGGGGAGCCTAGGGGCAAGCAGGGGAGTGAGCAGGGAGTCCTCAGGGAGGATTGGGCTGAGGTTGGGGCTCACACTCATGCTTGCATAGCGGTAACGGGCTCGGGCGGCATCGGGATGGGCGGCTAATGGGCCGGAATGCACGGCCGTGACAAAAGCAACCAAAACGCTACAGTGGTTGAGTTAAAGTACCAATACTAACATATAAGTATCAGAAGAAAGAACAGCCTTTTATAGGATTTCTGTTCTCCTCCTTCAACGTGGAGATTTTGGGATGCTTTGGGCCTGTCGTATAAGCACGAGGAAGCGGTGGTGGTGATCCAGAGCCATAAGCAACGGCCCCAAATCTTCTATCAGTTCTTGGTTCTGGGGACTGGATGGGGCCAAGGGAAGGGACCATGGCAGGATGCAGGCATCGCCATCATATGCCAGGCAACCAGTGCTTTGAAGCCCATTGTCATATCCATACTTGGCCATCGACTTCCACTACCTTCAAACTCTCCGGACTACCTCCACTCCTTCCTCATTAACCTCGGAGCTCCCATATTCCGCAACCACCTCTGCTTCTCTTTGATGGTCACCACCCCTCTTTTCAATATATTACCTATGCCTCCCTAAGTACGGAGCCCCAAAGGTTTCCAGACAGCTCCGACGTCTGCTAGCGCACTCCCGCCTCTGCTGGGCAATTCACTTGCTTGCCCTGCAAGCCCACCTTCGGGCCTATCCCTCCTTTCTGTTTATGGGTTATCACCTGCCATTCCGTTAACCCCATAACCCAACTTGTCAGTAATATTCAATCGGCTAATGTTTAACTCCGTTAGCTCCACTCCGCTTGGCCCCGCCATTTACGGGCCAGCCCTCGTTGTAACTATATATACTCAACTTGTACATAGGTTACACCTCAGTAATAAAATCGACTAGAGTTTACCCCCTTTTAGTTCTGGTTGCCAGTTAGTAAGTTAGGGCACGGACGTGTTACTTGGCACAGCGCTCCTGGCATATGTCGCTGAGGCTGAAGCCCTCCGCCATGGAGACCTTCCTTCGTCTCGATCTGGTCTCTGACACCCATGGAGAGGGGATTAGTTTTTTTCGTCGGTAGGGAGGAGTGCAGGGAATGGGCATTTGAATTACAGTGTCCTGCCATCACTGCAGAGGCGAGCTCACACACTCGAGCTTCCCATTTCAGCGACTGGCGTATGGGGCAGACACCTATTCTTTGCCTGAACAAGGCAGGATACTACGGGTTCAACCATCCCCACGTTGCTTTTGTGATCTTTGTTGGGAGATGTCTTTCCATGAACGATTTCTACCAAAGTTCAGGGAGAGTGGCCTGTGGTGATGGTGTTGGGATGAGTCTTACACTACTCCCTAGCCCCCCCTCCCCCCGCATATTCTGGAGGAGACTTTTCAAGGATCAGTGGCCATGGCATTGACGTCTTATCATCATGCCGATAAATGTCATAGGTCGTTCCCCTCTGCTCATCTAGATGGCATCCATCGCCAGACGGACTGCATGACTTTGCACAGTTCCCACCCAGAAACGGTCCTCTGTTCTTTCTGCTATGGACAGCAGCGCCACCAGCTGTCTGGATATGACTTTGACATTCCATGGGGCAAACTGTTTGTGCCACATGACACCTCCCTCACTCAGACTTCTTCCTCTCACTCTGAAGGCAATGACTATGATGTCTCTTCCCTCGTACCTCAGTCGAATCTTCTATCCTCTTCTCCTGAAGGAGGCAATTCACTTGTCCTTCCACATGGGTCCACTCCCCCCCTGCACTTACTTCCCTTCCACCTCAACATGCCAACAATGTGTTTCAAGTCAATGTGGCCTTGCAACAGGCATCGGCTGAGTCCACTGCTACAGTGCCTATGCAAGTGCATACTATCCTCCAGGAGCTGCAAGGAAAATGTCTTGTCTGCTGGCGTCACAGCTGTTCTGCTCTCACCCAACAAGCCAGTGCAAAGGTACGGATCGGTGGAGTGGATGGAGAAGAGAGGGATCTATAGGTGGGGATTTTGCCTGGAAACGTGCACGGTTCATCAACTCCACTGCTGGTGATACCAGAGGCTATTGTTGGAAGTGTCTGCTGAACCCAGATTGGTGGCCTGTTCATCAAAACAGCAGCACACATGGATGTCTGTTTCCCGACATCATCTTTGAGATGATCTGGATCATTGCACATTCTGATGAGCTTCAAAGTGCACTTGCCACTCACACTGGTGATCCAACGATCTTGACAATGGATGGATTTGTTGAATGGTGTCGACGAAGGTTTAACGGTGATAAAAAGTGGAAGAATTTTTCTACCCAGCTCGTACTGTTCTTTTACCATGAGTGTCAGATTCATGTTGGTTAGAATTACAATTCATATCTCTCTCTCGCATATGCCTGCAATTCTGACCCACCATACATGCTTACACACATTCTTATGATCTCACCTCTAGTTTTCATCCTCTTTGTTGCTTTGCTTGTACTTGTGTTCCATTGAACACATCGGCCTCCATGCCCTCTTCATGCCTGCTGTTGCACATTGGTCTGTGTACTTTTCTGGCATCAGCTGCACTGCATAGTCATTTTGTACGTAAAACAGGGCCCTTCATTGGAACAGTAATATAAAAGCAAGTGGACGCATTCACTTGAAACCTTAATATGGAAGGTAATATAAAAGCAAGTGGACATGTCCACTTGAAACCTTAATATGGAAGGTAATATAAAAGCAAGTGGACATGTTCACTTGAAACCTTAATATGGAAAGCAATATAAAAATGCAATGTTTTGCTTTACGTTCCATGATCATGATACCCTGATGCTACACATCACCCATCCATTCCCATCCTGATGATCTGTATGACATAAGCCACCATTGGATCATTATGTAGGGTGAGTTGCAACATCAAAAAACGACACATTCACTTGGAAACTCCCATAATGTCCAGAGCCCAAGGAACGAACTTGATATAAAGGATCAGTCCACACTTGAAAGGAAAGCAATACAAAGTACCAATTCACTGGGAAATCCCATTATAGAAAGCAATATGAAGACCGTGCACTGGGGATGGTGACCAGGCCCAATTACCTTGGGTGTCAAGGAATGATTGACTTGGGCCTGGGCACATAACCATCTTATTTGAATGCCTACCCTGACAGAAGCTGATGAGGGCTTAGATCTGCACCGACGACTGAGACCAACAGCTTGGGCCGGGTTTATAGTTGAGAGGGCCTGGAGTTTTGGTGGTGACATGGCGTTCCAGGGACACTGCTGAGGGTTGGCTGCCCAGGAAAGCTTTTTTATGCTCGACCAAAATCCCTTCTCTACACATCCCCCCCAGGCTATCGACCTCCTTTTGCTACCCCTGCACTCTCTGCTCTATGAACGCAAAGTCAGATCCATGGACAAGGTTCACCAAACTGAGGGATACCATGTACAGAGGATCCGCATTGGTAAGTAGTATGTTGGGAATTTCTGCCAATGTTAAGGTTAAAATCTTCACCAGGTTCCATTGCGCCAGATGATCCCATTGGAAGGGAATAGGCCAGTGGATGAGGATTTCGTGAAGCAGCATTTCCTCCAATGGGGCAATAGGATCAATCATGCTGCAAATGAGATGTCTGGTTTGTTGCCAGATGACCAGCCTATTGATGTAGAGGATTTTCCTAGGGATGTCCCAGTTCGAATAGCACATGGGCAGCATAGGAAAAGGGTACTGGAGATGCACATACAGAACTTGATGAGGGAGACATGGGAGTCCGATCACCCTGGTGAAGATGTACCCCAGTTCACCTTGGCCCAGGTACATGAGCACCCTCTTGCATACTGGAATGTGCGGTTATATGGGCACTGTGAGTGAATTCATCCCCATTGAACTCTTGGCTTTCACTGATTGGAGAAATAAGCACTTCGGACCCAGAGAAAGTCCATGTTTCGGACATGGCTGGTGCAGGACAACGTTGCATTTGCCAAGTCACCAAACTGATGGGCCTACATTTTTTCCCTCATGTACAGCAACATACATTCGAACCCACCACTTGAGAAGGATGCTCTAGGACATATATGGAGAGGCCTTCAAGAGAAGGAGACAAAGGGGATGGTGGATATATGGAGGTGTAGCTCATTGGTTGAGAGGGTCAAGGAGCTTATGACCATTCCTTGCTGGAGGGAGCGGAAGAGCTTTGGTTATGTAGAAGAATGGACGAGCAATGGGATGCATAGGGTAAGCAAACAAACATTCATTACATGTCAATCGTTGAACTAGTTTCTGTCCTAGCTATACTCGGATGTTCTGAAGATCCACATTGCACAGCTAAAACAGCTAGTGCACCCTCTGGACATCACCACCGTCACAGAGGAACAGCTAAAAGTTTCCCACCCGATACAGCTCAAGTCACCTCCCTCGTGGCGGTCTCTGGAGAAAGAGAGCAATGAGGTGTATGCAGGAGAGGCCCTTGAGCGTGCGAAGCTGGTCCCTGCTGATTTTGACAGTGTGTTGCAACCCAAGGGATGTGAGAAATGGGTGTTTGACTGCCATCATGTGAGTTCCATGGGCTGATTGTTGGCATTGGGTTGAATGGTTTCTCAGTTCCTTCATCCTGAATATGTCCAAGCAAAAAAATCAAACCTGAACTATGAGATGGCCAAGATACGTCGGTCCTTTGCACTGGTAAGTGCATATGATGTGGATCAAATGCATTCAAGGAGGTTGATGGGTAGCCACACAGTTCACATTCATCGTCTTTGGGCCTGAAAAACTCAAATCGATGAGTACTCATGGCGGAAGTAGGAGGCAAGGAGACATGGACCACTTTCGTTTCACAGAGGATGACCCATTCTTGTTTTGGGACACCACCATCCCACTTTGGTGCAAGGAAATCGGTGTTGAAGAAGAGGGTGTAAGTATTTTTGTATGGGCTGGGTGTTATTGGCTGACTATCGATTACAGGTGGTGGAAATGCTGGCCCAAACACCATTGATACACAATGCTGCAGTAAAAGTGATGATGAAAGGAGCAAGCGAGGCTGGACAAACCGAACTCGCAATGGAAACAGTGAAGCTCTTTGATCGCTCTACTATCAGTCGAACGATCAAAGAAAGTATGTCGTGGTGGTCTTTGTTGCAGCGCTTTGTCCCCCTGTCATGCAGGAAGTCCTCCTACACCTTCACATCTGGGGTTACAATAGAGCCCTATTCTCCGCAGCGCCATCATGAGTACCATCAAAAGGGAACGGAGATAGTGGGACAAGTCAACACTGTGTCAGGGCACACCTGCCTGACCCGGCCCCACCCGGCCCCACTTCACCCGGTACCCCGCCACCCGGCCTTCCCCTACCTCCTCCCCCCTCTCCTTTCTTTCCTTCTTTCTCCATTCCACTCCCTCTTTACTTATTCCACCTTCTCTTTATTTTCTCCTTATTCTACATGGACAACTTTTCCTTGTATCAATGTACCATTGACCCACCCGCAGCACGCTCACGACACGCCCAGCCTGGGCGCCTCGGGCGACCCCCGCTATCTCCAGCTCGCACGTTCACAGCGGATGCCCTCGGGATCCCCCACAGGGACACCCGGGTGACTACGGCTGTACGCGAGGATGACATGGCACCCATCATGTGACCTAAGCCGCATGTATATAAACATACCTGAAGTGGGAACCGAAGAAGTAGCCTTCTTCTCATCCTTTCCCACTTCAGTGGCCAGGGACTGCCTCCTGAGCCGGGCCCGCCAGTACGCACGCCCGCTCCACCCCCCGCGAGACTTCCAGTGTCAGGCGTCTCACCCGGGCCCCCTCTACCCCGGATGCGTCCCTGACACACTGCAAGAGAGCAGCGAGACACCACTTTGGTCCACCTAAACCAAATCAACCAGGAGATAGAGACTTTGGTGTCGTTGAAAATGGACTTGGAAGCAAGGCACTCTGGGTTGGACCTAGAAGAAGAATGGCTGGACGAGAATGAAGGGTTCATCCATGAGCTAGATTCAACAGCTTGCTCTGTGTGGTGCAATGTCACGAGGCAATCAATGCAGCTGAAGCCAAATTATATGATCTCCCCATGTTTCCATCTCCTGACCCCACTCAGGGCACAGTTCCGACCTTCCTCCCCACTCAACAAGTTGAGGATTGTTACAATGGCAGTCAACCCAGTGGCACGCCAATGGAAGATGGACCAGATGTTGAAGATCATTTTATCCTCTTCCAACTTCCAACTCATGTTGACAGCTTCTTCCAGAATGTGCTGGGTGAGTATGCGAGCCACCAGTCAGCTCAGAACCTACAGCGGTTCTTCACCACCTTGCTTGGGGATGATGCAACTTCATGGTCCATCATGAAGGGGGACCGGAGCATAGGAGGGACCGAGGAAGAATCAAGCAGTATGGGTGGCCAAATTGCTCACTCGTCCCCAACCAATAGCCACACTCCCTCCCTGGAAAGCCCACATCCGTTGATCAGCATACAACCTGTAGTGGAAACTGATGGTAATGGAGCACAGCCAAGCAACTCCCCCCCATCCTACAAGTCCCTTCCTTGTACCCTGAAGCGACATTTATCAGGGGAAGGCGATGATGGGACCACGGCAAAGAGACAAAGGGGAACACAGCTGGCAGGTCCCAGTGGCACCCACCAGCAGGTAGTTTTGGTGGAATGCACACCAGAGAGTCATGAGGAAAGTGTTGTGGGATCCCAGGAGTTTCAGGGCCCCCTTGGCTCAGGCCATGGCTTGACTCGTGACACTCAAGGTAGTGTGACAGCCAGGGCTGTGCCCGATGTGTTGGGGACCACAAATTACTTTGAAGGAACTGGGTCATATGAGGGGCCAAGTGACAGTGAATCCCATGTTTCAAGATCATCAGGTGGAGAAACCATCTTGACCGATGCACCATCTTTCGAGTTCTGGAGGTATGTTAACAGGCTTCCGGCACATGAGAAGGCAAACAAAGTAGCAAGGAGGGAGGTGTGGGAAGGCTGGGAGCCTATTAGTGCATCTAGGGAGCGTGAAGGGAACGTTTTGGAGGAAATGTGACTAATGGCTCAACCAGAAAATTATATGTAAATTATATGTAAATTGTATGCACCACAACGTCGATTTGTATGGTTTCTTCCACATCGTTCTGAGGAGTGATGCTTAGTTCCATAGCCCAGTCCCAAGCCCGATAGCACAGTTTTGATGGATTTTACCCCATAACACACATTGGACAAGCCCATCTTCCCCTCATTCGTCTACCCACTATCCAAATTCCACTTCCCTAGACCCGTCTGTTGGAATTCAATGGGCACACAGTAGGAGCTTAGGCCCTGTGGCTATTAGTGGCGTAGTTGGAACTTCTTCAGTTCACTTTAATGCAAAGCTGAGGTGAGAGCAATACTTCGACTGATTATTATGATTCCTAGTAGTTATCTGTTACCCTGTGGCCCTGTTGCTACATGGCAGCATGCAGACCTAGCTCATTACATCTGGGCATACATGAAGGGATCAACTACACAGGATCAGGGTTACAGGTTCAGCCTAAAGCCAAGCACGGCTGCCACCTGTACTGAAAAGGTGTCACATGGGCAAGGCAACTCTGTCACTTAGCCCACGTGACCTTCCTGGTCCTGACATCTCATATTTCAGCTTCCATCAGACCAATCTGGATGAAATTGGTGTTGCTGCAAAGCTGCAAATTAGGAGGATTTAGAGGAGTGTTGGGATTGTCCACATTCTTTATTGATTTTAGCTTCTCAGCCTGCAGTACATATAGTTGGAGTCTGAGTCCAAAGGTAAACAAACTGTTACCAAGGGGAAGAGGAACAACTCCACAGGTCAAATATAGATTAGATGAACGAAGAATAACTGAATGGTTGAGTCTGGGCTTGTCCAATGATGTGCAGGACACTACTGAAAGTGATGTTCTGAAGGGTCCGGAGTCGGAAGTTGTAGTCCGAAATAGTGGGGGTATGAAATAAATGAAATGGTGTATAAAGAGGTCTGAGACGACTGGAGATAGGTGGATGGAAGTTGGAGGTATAGGCGACGGAGATGATGAGGTCCAAATGGGTGTGAGGGAAGTAAGGAAGATGGTTGTCAGAGACCACAAGTGGGACGAAGGAGAAGTCCCCGTGGTGGAGGGCTTTGGCCTCAGTGACTTAGACCAGGAGTGCTGTGCCTAGTTACACGTCCATGCCCTAATTTACTAACTGGCAATGAGAACTAGAAGAGGGAAACTCTAGTCGATTTTATCACTAGGGTGTAACCTATCTACAAGTTATGTATATATAGTTACATAGAGGGCGGGCCCATGAATGGCAGGACCGAGCAGAGTGGAGCTAACGGAGTTACATGTTAGCCGACTGAATATTACTGACGAGTCGGGTTACGGGGTTAGCGGAGTGGCAGGCTACAACCCAGAAACAGAAAGGAGGGAGTGGCCTGAAGGTAGGCTGGCAGGGTGAGCAAGTGAATTGCCCAGCAGAGGTGGGAGTGTGCTAGGGGACGTCGGAGCTGTCCGGAGGCCTTTGGGACTCCATACTTAGGGAGGCATAGGTAATATATTGGATTGAGGGGGTGGTGACCATCGAGGGAGTCAGAGGTGATTGCAGAATACGGAGGCTCTGAGGTTAGTGATGAAGGAGCAGAGGTAATCCGGAAGGACTGGAGGTAATGGAGGACGATGGCCATGGATGGATATGACAATGGTGAGGACTAGTAACAACGCCTGTCAGTAGTCAAGTCTGCTTACTAACTGTCAGTGGAGGTCCGGAGATGAGGAGCCCAGAGGTGGAAAGGTCCAGAGGGAGAGGAGGGAATTACCAATGTGCTGTTAGGTAACTGTCACAACGGAGCAATACCCTTAACACCTGTTGACATGCCCCAGTGTCACTAGCCACCTGCCTGGGTTCATCTGGCCACACACCCCTCCACCCACCCTCTCGCCCATACCTCTCACCAAATGCATGCCATTCCAACCAGGTGTTCCTCCATTACTCACCCACCAGCTGGACGACTCACTAGACAACCAGATGGTGTCAACCAGAGGGGCAGAGATGGGTTTGGAGGTAAGTGTCAAAACGCAACAATCCTAGGGCAGACAGGGCTCAACTAGAGGGGTTCCAAGAGCTCTGGTAGTGAACCGAAGCTTCTCCAGGAAGCCTGAGTCTGCTGACTGCTACAAGAGGCTCTAAGAAGGACATGGCCTCAGCAACTTGGAGGGGTGTGCTGTGCCTCCGTTACATCTTAGTTAGTCCTTAATTTCAGATGTCTGAGGTATCTTGTAAGAGGGGAAACATGAATCACTCATAGGGGAACTTGGGGGTGAAGTTTTAGTTGTGATTTGAACTGAGGTACAATGAGTTCTAATCTACAGGTATATATATATAAAAGGCAGAGGAGGACTTTAGTCAAAGTCTGAGTGATACTGGAAGTTTCTCTAACAGGGAACCGAGGTGTCGGGTTGAGGGAGGCAGAGTTGAAGGCCAGAGAATAAATGGGAACGAGAAATGGGTAAGGGAGGGTTAGCCCACTGAATGGAAAGAAGACATCAGCCGTGCTATAAGTGGAAGATGACTAATTAAGATGACAAGGGTGGAGTCACCAGGGGATACAGGTAGCTCCAAAGCCAGAGTTACATATCCAAGAAATGTTGGGCAACTCCAATAATTGAAATGGAGAGAGGAAGGGTTTAGAAGATAACAAAATGTTGGGGGTCTGTCAGGAGGTTGGAGCAATCCAGGGATTCCAAAGGTTCTGACTTGGAACCGAGCTTCTGGGATGGAGGTGGCTAAGGGTGAGTGTGCCAAAGTCCAGGCCGGAGCTGAGACAGTAGGGATGGAAGCAGGGTGGGAACGCAAGGAGGAGTGGTGTAGGGGATGGCGAGGTTGTTAGGGAGGTGTAGTGAGGTGGGAAAGTGTGGGGTCAGGATTCTGGGATATGACAGTGAGTAGATCTTATTTCATACTAGATATATGCTGTATATAAGCCAAATCCAATCCAAACTAAAATCCAAGCAATCTGACAGTGTGCCATGTCAGGTGGTGTCCCACCAGTTATAGAGTATGCAACAACCATGCAGCTGGTCAGCTAGCACAGCCACCCATACATCAGCTCTAATCAGCTCCCCTCGAGCTGATCAGCAACCATGGATCAGCTGGTCAGCTGGCACAGCCACCCATACATCAGCTCTAATCAGCTCCTCTCCAGCTGATCAGCAACCATGGATCAGCTGGTCAGCTGGCACAGCCACCCATACATCAGCTCCAATCAGCTCCTCTCCAGCTGATCGGCGACCAAGGGATCAGCTGGCCAGCTGGCACAGCCACCCATATAAAAGAAATTCCCACAACCCATAAAAGGAAAAAAATCAGCTGTCCCATACATCAGCGGTAGTACGGTACTACTGGGCTGTCAAATACACAGGAGTTCAGTCAGTCAGGTACCAGGAGGGCACATTTGGATGGAGATACAGAAAGGTTTTCCAAATCATCACAAGGTTTCCAAGGTGTTTCCAGAAACATGGGGAGGGTTTGGGAAGGAAAGACAAGGGTGCCTGTTCTTGCCAGCAACAGCAGTGCATGTCAGAATAGGGAAAGGAATCTAATTGTCATGGGCAATAATGGCATGGGAGTGATGGGGGAAGGGAGAGTTGTTGAATGCAGCTTAGATCAGTGCTTCTTCTGGCCTCAACAACGATGTGGCGACGCATTGGACAACATGTTGGATGATGGTGATGACATATTGGACAGTGCTGGTGACATGCACATCAATTTGGCAGGAAGGCAACAGCAGGCTGGCTGGGTGGTTGCTTGTATTGAAGCAGAGGGTGGGGGCGGTGCATGAATCCATTGGGCCATATGGCATGGTCAATGGGGTTGAGTGTGGCTCTGATGGAGTCACCTTGCGTGCTCTGCAAGATCCATGTGGACTGTGCCAGGCCATCATTGTCGTCGATGCTGTTGCTGGTGTTGGGGTTCAGGTCCATGGTAAGCTTCGTGTAACACCACCCAAGAAGGTAGAAGAGGTGTTGGAACAGGCATATAGGGTGGTGCACCATCCACCCCTCATCCATCCAAGCAGATGCCACCTGAGACCTGCAAACAAAAAGACCAATTTAGTGACATGGGTAGTAAAACCTTATAGAAAAAGGTGTACATTCCATCTTGGCAGCTGAGGAAGGTGCCATTGATCTTGCAGAACATGAATGGCTGCATGGGATGTGATCTGATGGAGTGGAGGAGGTCACCAACAGTAGTGCCAGCCTTGAGGTTGAAGGAGAAGGAGTGGCAGATGCTGTATGATGCATCTGTGCAAGGGTGGAGCCTTATCTCAAAAATGCCAAGGGCAGGTGCACCCTCAGATGGTCAATTGATGATCCAGCCATCAGTCAGGGCAATCATTTCTGGGGATAGGTCATCTATGTCACTGCTGACCTGTCAGGGGACAACTCCTGGGTCCCCATGACCCTCCCCTATGGTCAACAGCCTCAGGTGTGAACAGCCCTGTCCAGGGCACAATCTACTGTGGGTAAGAGATGAGAAGGAAGCTGACTTCTCATCTTCCCACAGTGGCCTCAATATAGTGAAAACTTCCAGAGATATCCAGAAGTCACATGGGAGATGGGAACTGGGGCCTGGAGCATGTGGCATGTGGGGCAGAGCACACATGTGGGTCCAGGCTAGTCAGGGTGTGTGCCCTGACATGACCCTCATCTCCTCACTTTCAATGCCACATATGGCCATGGTGACCTTGACACCTTCCTCAACAAGGGGTGGCTTCCCTTGGCTCCCAAAGTCGCTGTAGATGCTGCCACCACCACTGATGCTGAAGGCATGGTTGGAGTTGGAATGGCTGACATGGCTGCTGCCTCTGTATTCACCTTGATTCAAAGCAATGCTCTGGAAGTTGAAGCCCAGTTGGACTTGGCCAAGCACACCTCCAACTGAGAGCTTGCCATGCCAGTACCAATGGTTTTTCATCAGACCCTGGCTGTTTGCTATCTGTCAATCACTATTGTGAAAAATGAGCAAAATCAATCCACAAACCAGCTGCATGCCCACCACATGCCCAGCATTTATGACATCAGCATGGATTTGAGCATCCTGGATGACCAGATTTAAAATAGCAGGGGGGAAATTTTCAATAGAGTAGTCACCTTGGAGAAGAGATGCCTGCATGCAATGGTAGTCAAGAAAGAGAAACACAATGAGCATGGGGATACTGCACACAAGGCACAGCAATATACTGTGGTGGTTGCCAGTTGTAAGGGATGGGTGGTGGAGTGGTGATGCATGCTTTCTTTGTTTGTTCTTTATTCTTTGTGTACAATGTAAACAACTGTATTTACATTTGTATGGCTCAGTGTGAGGTCTTGTGGGTCACTCAGCACACCAGTCCATAAGTGTTACAGAAGTGTTAAGCGGTAACCGGAAGTTGCCACTTAACCACATGACTCATCAGCAAACCTGAATGTGGAGGCCTGAGAGCTCATAGAGCTGTATTTGCACACAGGGGACTATTATCTGTATGAGCTCCCTGAGTGTTTAATTTACCTGATATTAAAATTTAAATTTAAAAGCATTGACTATGGCATCATGTGACTAGCCATAGCCATAGCCAAGTCCCTACTATACAAGGAACTGAACAAACTCAGCTTAACTTTCAGCACCAATGTGGCACTGCACACCAAGGGTATATAGCCCAATCAATATATAGATCAAATTTAGGGATATAAATGTAGTTAATCTGAAATTACTTAGGGAAAACAGGAAAATGAGTGGGGAAATGGGGGGGAAAATGAGGGGAAAATTGAGGGGGGATTGGGGGGGGGGGGGAATGAGGGGAAAATTGAAGGGGGGAAATGGGGGGAAAATGGGGGAAATTTGGAGGGGGAGATGAGGAGAGGAATTGGGGGGGAATGGGGGGAAATTGAGGAGGGAATTGAAGGGGGGAATTGGGGAAGAATTGGGGGGGGAATGAGGGGGAAATGAGGAGAAAATTAAGGAGGAATTGGGGAGGGGGGAAATGAGGGGAAAATTGAAGGGGGGGATGGGGGGGAATGAGGGGGGAAATTGAGGGGGGGGGATGAAGGGAAAAATGGGGGGAAAATGAGGGGGAACTGGGGGGTTTCTAAAAACTTGAAAAAAAGTCAGGGAAAATTAAGGAAAATTAGGGAGAAATGGGGGACTTTCAAAAAAAAGATAATTTCTAAAAAATCAGGGAAAATTAGGGAAAATTCAGAAATCTTGGGAAATGTTAGGGAGTCAGGACATTTAGAAATAATTTTAAAAAATTGAAATCACCTTTCTATCATAAAATTTTTGCTATTTGAAAATTTCAAGGCAAACTCCAAAATCCAAAAATTTACACTATATATTTCATCTCCTTCTCACCCAAAACTCAACCAATTTTAACAATTCAAAAGGCTTGGTATGGATGTATGGATGTATGGATGATATCTGAAGGATACATCAGCTTTCTGTTTGCTTTATTGGGCTGTATTTTAAATTTACTCTTTTTGGGACACTTTTTAAAACTGATTTATACCCTACATAACACGCATGGTTACATTGCCACACTTAGGTGCTTTCCAATTCACATAGATAGAATCATCAAAATTGGATGAGTTTTGAGCAAGAAATGAGATGAAAGATAAAGTGTAAAGTTTTGAATTTTGGAGTTTTCCTCAAATTTTGCAAATAGCAATAAACAAGGTGCTGTATCTCAGCATATTCCATGGATACATCAGTAAACACAAAAGGTCTATGAGGTCTATGAGCCTGCTGAGATCATAGAGCTCATAGAGCCTTTGGAGCCTTTGGAGTGATCAGAATGGCTATTTTCCACACATTTACAGAAACATATATCCATATTACCATTGCACTACTGGTGCCAAGATAACTCAGCAGATTCCATGGAGACATGAAGACCATTCATTAGTAAAAAAAAACACAAAGCTCTATGAGCTCTATGAGCTGAGTGGGAGCCCACTCAGCTCATAGAGCTTTTCAAGTGATGATGATGGCTATTTTACATGCATTTCCAAAAATGGATATCCATATTATCTTTGCACTTCTGCATCCTTATGAGAACAAAATCATATATATATTTCATTTTCTTGACTCTATGTGTAGAGGGTGCACAGCAAAAGACTCAATTTGCTCACAGAGCTTTGAGAGCTCTGAGGTCCATACCAGGTTTGCTGATGCAGCTTGCCCAGAAACCTGCACAGCCACAACCGTGGGAACATTCTGGGTGAGCGACTCACCCAGAATCTTCCCACACTCTGGGCACTGCCACCTGGATGTTCCCTCTGGGTTGCACTACACAACTCTAGGAGCTGTATAGTTGTGGGCATGTGACCCATTCCTTTATATAGCAACCATGTGGGGAGATGAGACCTTTACCCTTCTTCTCATCTCATGCCCCACATAGGCAAGTGTATCTATTTCTCCTTAGCTAGTTTGGGTGCTGTGATGGTATCATGGGTCAGGATAAAGATGCATTGCTTGGAGAGGTGATCCACAACTACTAGTATGTGTCATGACCCACAAATCCCGGGGCTCTGTCAGTGATGAATCAATGCTGATAAGCAAATCTGCCAACCTGAAACCCATCCTAACCAGCCCTCAACCCGATGTCTGGCCCCCTGTCCTACTGAGTGAGACTTGGTCAACAATCCGACCCCAGACCTTGCTGGCATTCCGACCTTACCTCCAGTTCCTGAGCCCTTGGTGCTCCCAGCATCCAGTCCCTCTAGTTCCTCTTGCCTCATCTCCATCTGAACCACACCCATCACTCCACTATGTGGTCACAGCCATGCACTGCATCCAGACCTCTGCCCACATCCAGACTTCCACCTGCATCTGTACCTCCACCCACCTCTGCACCCTCTGCACCCTCTGCACCTCTGATGCTTCTGGTTGCCCTCCACACCCTGTGGTCAGGTCAACACTCCCACTCCCCTCAGGACTTCTGCTGGTCATCATGTTGTCCTTGTGACAGTACTGACAGATCCACCTCTGTCTCGCGGACTTGTGTCGGCACTGCACCGACCCCACTTATTTGCAGACTTGTATTGGCACTGCATGCTGACCTCCACTTTTCTCCTCTGGCCATTTTTGTCACTCAGCAGCATACCATTCATTCCTTGCTGAGTGCCTATATTGTTCATCTATCCATCTGCTTAACTTGCCAATATTGGCACTTGATCTGTGTGCTGATGCACTTCTTATTCATTCACTTAACCTGTCAATATTGACACTTGATCTGCTTTTGCTTTAGTTCATTTCTTGCCTCCCATTTCCTGGGCTCTTGTCTTTATTCAGTTTGACAATCCCCACTCATTTCTGTGCCAGACTGCGCTGGACTGACTGGCCCTTCTATGTTCTCCTGCCTATTTATATCCTGTAAATACTTTTGGGGACCTTAGTCTGAAATCAACTAGAGTACCCCCCTTGTCTTGTCTGAGTCCCTCCTTCTGCAAAGGGGGCTTCCCCCCCTCTGAGTCCATGCTTGCGGAGTCCACACTCCTCCTACAGGCCTGCTCCACCTGCAAGTCTTGTTTGAAGTCCACTGTAAGTGCCAATCTGTAAATAAGGGATCTCCCCCAGATGTCAAGCTCAGGGCACAGCACTCCCCTTGAGTTGCTGAGGCCACGATCCCATTCTGCTAACTCTGAACAGCGCTTCTGGATGCACCACATATTTCTGCCTGCACATCTGCACATCTGCACTCCAACAGACCTCTGCCAATACCTCTGACCCCAACTATGACAGAAATCCACCCATCTCTGACAGTATGGCAATGAAGCCAGTGGAAGATGGAAGTTGTTCAATGAAATCCATGTAGATGGAGTTCCAAGGGCATTCAGGGATGGGGAGTTGTTTCAACAGACCATAGGGCTTGTGGTGTGTGTCATATCCATACAATCCCGACCTCCGCTCCGGGCTCCCGGAACTCCGAACTCCGACTTCCGGAGCCCTACTTCCCTTCCGTCACCTTCTCCTTGCCGACTCCCAAGAGGTTATCCCACCTCCGGCTCGGACACCACCTTCGGTCCGACTCCGGAACATTCCGGGTCCAACCCCAACCTCAACACCTTCCAGACGAGTACGCAACACCTATGCTCCCGACTCCGGACCTCCGCTCTGGAATCCTGTTTGCGTCTCTGTCTCCGGAACCTCCGGTCTTAGCTCCGACCTCGGACTTTGACCCCACCTCCGCTTATACCCATTGTATTGGTTAGCTCATTCCATTTAATTACGTTTGCCAATATTCCGGAGTTTAACCTCCGAGTTCGGACTTTCCGGACTTACTCCGGACCTTGCAACTATTGCATTGTCCATTTCAATTCCGCTATTCTCCCTCATTCCTATTTGGGCTGCTGCTTCCTTTCTATTCAGTCAGCTAGCCATTCCCGACTCCCATCCTCCTTCCTTCCTTCTTGGGTCTTGGCCCTTCATTCCTCCTTTGGGAAACACCATTGAGTCAAACACTTGACCCTTGGTGTTGTTCCTCTTTCCATCTCCCTTTGTCTCCTTTTGTCCTACCCTTGTTCCTTTTGATTCCGGACCCCTCCTTATATACAATGTACCTAGTAACTTGTAACCTCAGTCCGAAATAGACATGAATTCCCCCAAGAGACTTTCCCTCTGCTAGATCTGAAATTAGGGACCCCTAGGACAACCAGCAATGGCACAGCGCTCCGCCTGAGTCGCTGAGGCCGAGGTCCTTCCATGCTAAGTCTCCGATTCCATTCCGGAGTCATCCGAATCCGCAAATTCTAACAGTGTGGAACCTTTGCACAGGTGCAGGCGGTGCAGGACACAATGTAATCTTTGACAAATGTGCAGATGCCTGGCCAAGTGTACTCTTGACAGATCAGGTCGAGGGTGTGGCTTTGCCCAAAGTGTCCAGACAGGGGGTGGTCATGCTTATACCTCAGAATCCACAGGCAGAGATTGTTAGCATCTGGCACCTAGATGCAGTTGTCTAACCTAAGCAAACCATTGTTATCTAGTGACCAGCATGAATCTGTGGGAATCAGGGAAGTGAGGTGTTGGGAAATGGTGGGATCAGTGGGAAGGGTGGCAATGATGTCCTTGTGGATGGCTTTGACATCAACTAGTGTGCCTGCATGAAGAACAGGAGTGGCAAGGCAAGTGGTGCAAAGGGACAATTGTCAGGGCATACACCCTGACCTAGCCCATACTCACATCCACACCTGCACTCACACCCACACCCGCACCCACACCCAGCTGTTGCACTTCCCACATGCACCCTGTGCCGGAT